AATCATAAAGTAAATAACTCAATTATTCGATTAATTGGAAATTATGATTACTCAAAAGTTCAGTTACTCGAGTAATCAAGATTTTTGATTAACCAAAAACAAAAATATTTGAGTAAAATGCTTTATGATTAATCAACATTTCGAGTAAAATGAGTAATCAACATTTCAACTCTTTACATATGTATAAAGTAGTTAAAGTTCCTTGATACTTTGAAAACAACGTTTCTGTTTTCAAAAATTAAAAAAAAATTTTTTTCATACACAGAATGTAAAAAAAAAAATTAGCATTTTCCAAAGCAAACTCTATTACGAGCAAAATTTTTTTTTTTGAGTAATCATATTTCAAGTAACTCGATTAATCATCGTTTTGAGTAATCAAAATTTTGATTACTCGAGTAATTGATTAACCAACTTGCTCGAGTAATCGAATAATCGCACAGCCCTAAAGTAAATATATAGTTAAACTAAATAATTTCTGGATTCAACGTTTCTGTATCGTTCTCGGCTTTTATGTTTGGTAAATATAAAAAATTTCTCCTAAAATACTAATTGTTCAAAAACGCATATTACTACATAGCAATAACTTGTATTTTCAAATCTCCAACTATCACTGATCTTATCATACGAATTTTTAACACTCATTGTTCAAAAATGTTTCATCAAAAAGTGTCAGAAAATTAATACAAAACAACTAAAAAGGATAATAATATAGGAGGGCCAATAGGAAATTTTTCAAATTAATATTTTAAGAACACACACAAATTTCATAACCACTCTAATTAATGTGAGTTCATCACGCATTCAGGCGTAACCAACTCAACCAACAAAAAAAAAAAGTAAACAAAGAACTAAAACCAACTAAAACAACCACCAAAAACCTTTGTCTGAAACACAGAAAACCAAAACAAGAAAACTGGAACAATTGTTTTAATGTTTCTCGTACAGGTTAATTTCCTAATCAGAAAGTGTCATAGCAACGAAGGCATACAAAACAGGACAAAACAAAATAAGGCAACTTCCAAATGGGAACAAAACCGAAACATTACCAATTGGAGTGTGTTCATGTGCTGGTGCTGACAGCGTTTTAGGGGCGGAAAGTGACTGCCCACTGTACATAGTATGTATGTATGTATGTATGTAAGTGCAAGCGCATTGCAGCAGGACACAGTAGTCCTTTTACATGGCTAGGCTTTAGTTGTTGCTTAGAATGCGTGGTGGATTGTACAAATGTCGAACAGCGCGGAGAAGGCGTCAACAGAACAGCTAAAACTCATTCTAACAAAAATGTGATAACAAGTGATTTCCGAAAAGTTCTAATTTAGTTTTGTTTTATGCGAATTTCATTCAGGAATATACCAATGAAGTCTTCAAAGAGCGCCGCCAACAAGAAGTGCAAACCGATGGATTATACAAACTATGCCTATAATGAGGCTGTTAGCCGGCTAAAGTTAATGTTGGCCGAATCGTATGCCCCGCCCAGAGGTGGTAGTGGCGCCGGCTCAGCTGCGGGCGGTGGTAGTGGTGTTGCAGCGGCGTATTTGCGGCATGGAAATGAGGATTCCACGGATAATTATTCAGATAATTTGTCGGTAAGTAAAACAACAATAATTGCCTGTAATTTTGTTTAATGCAACAAAGTTTGCCAATTGGCATAGAAGTTCGTTGAACTCTTTAGTTGGTTTGAAATTCTAATTGGAAAGCATGAATTCATATTTGTTAGGTTAGAGCAATGCTTAGCCTGTGCTAAGGAAAACAAAACAAGGGCATCTAGTTTTTATTTTGGTAAGATTTTCTAAAGGATTCCAAAGTTGTGAATACAACAAAAGTCTTGCTGAAAGATTCTTCGTGAATTTTCGAATAATACCTTGCTAAAGTGCTCTACAACTATACATATTTTATATGTGAGTTTGATCATCTTAAATAGGCTTTGAAACCCCTGGTAAACCCTATACAGCTGACTTTCCTCGTAAGAATAACAAAATCGGCAAATCGGCAAGCGTTATTGTTTTGAAGCACATCAGTAACAACTTGACAAATGTTGGTTTTTAATTGCACCAGAATCGGAGGTTTATTCACATTAACCCATTTTTTTGCGTAAAAAAAATTTGTACTACTGTTGCAGCAGTATACTCAATCGCGAGTCTTGCGTCCCCGTTCGCGCACTCTGGTTAGTGGGTGGTGGTTCTCTCGGTGGGGCCACTCCGACTTATTCGGTTTAAGAGCTCAGAACATCTGATCAACTTAAGAGTCGAATTGCCGCAATCCGAATGAAAGCTAAACACATCTGGGGGTCTCTACTCTGTATTGCGATTAAAAATTCAATGCGACTCGAAAAGCGACACGGACTAATATAAATCCATAGCTCCTAAGTATCCGAAACCGAATGATTTGCTTTTCGAATCGCGATACAGAGTAAGCCACCTGGTCCAGCAGTCGGAAATTTCAGTCCTCACGTTAACATCTTCGAAAGCGGAGAAAAGCTCATTGACGTCGCCGCCATACACCAGCATTGAAACATACATAAAACCATTAGGAGTTCCCCTGATCAAATACGAAAAACCTACAGTCACAAACGATATCCGAGAGAACTTTCGCAATTGACTTTGAATCCTACTTAAACAAAAAACTTTCCATGGACCGGATTTAAATGCGCAGAGGGAATTGATCTTCTAATCTCTTCGTACTGCTGCGGTTGGCAACTATCAACAAAAGAGAAGGAGCTGGTATGACGAAAGGTTATCTGCAGCTGCTACAGAGAAATAGGCAATATTTCAAGCCACCCTGCAGCCAAATCAAACGGACGCGGCAACTGAGCGGTACCGGGAAAGATGGAATAGAGGGGAGGGTAGCTGTCCCTACCTGGATACGCTCTTATAGTTCTCGAAGCTGTGAATAAACAACTGGCTTCAATTGTTGGTTAAGCGTGATCGAAATGCGACGTACGGGTCTTCGACCCCCTTTGCTTTTACAGCAGCGATGCTTGCATTGGAACGACTGCAAAGATGCACTTCTTATCTGCCACCAATCTATTCGCATTAAACTTCATTACAATTTTGTTAATTCCCTGCAAATTTGGACAATAATTTCCACGCAAAGCGCGAAAAGTGGGGAAGTGGTGGCAAAACTTAGACTGACTTTGCACATTGTAGAATCCATCGCATGGCTATAGAATTAATTATATGTATTTCAGAACCACCAATCTGTATCGCACATCCCTTCCCTCTTGAATGAGATATCTTGGTGTCGCGAGTATAGATAGCTCAATTACGGAGGTAAACAAAGGTTCTTGCTTTAGTCGGTACGGTAGGACATACAGGGATAACTGCCAAAGATTTATCTGATTTAGACAAACTAGTCTTTAGAGCTACATACCTTCGGAATTAAAGCCACCGTAAACAATGGAGGACATTACGTTCAACGAAGACGCTCAGGGATTTTGAGACGGCAGGTGAACTAAACTTATGGTGACCTCAAACCCAGAAACTCGCATCAAATATTTGTTCCCATTGTGGAGATTATTCAACCCTCTTTAGTAGTTCAACGGTCGGAGCTATGTCTAGGCATCGCATCGGCTACTGTGTTCCTTTCGACATTGCTATGTCCAGGAACCTATCTGAGGGAGGTTAGTGGAAAACTTTAACGTGACTTAGTGAAGCCAGCGATATACGACATTTCCGAACTATATTCGACTTTACTACCTTGAGATTTAACATTTTCCACGCCGCCTGGCCTAATCAACGAATACAGTGCGTTACTCCACTGCATGAGACAAGCCGCCTTCTCTAAGTCAAATATCTCTGCTTGAAAGGCACTGCAGTTTTCAGGCTGGCGAAATTGTTGCCTTATCTGCTGGTCCTTGGCGAATAGTCTTGAACCAGCTACTCTTTCCTTCTTTGAGCCATCGGTGTAGGGGAAAATAGCATTATTTAAAGACAGTAGACCGCCTTCCCAATCTTCCCTTGTTGGAAAATGTATGGGAGCCTTAAGAAAAAAAATCCAAAGTGACGTGGGGTAAAACTTAGATATTTTCTTTTGGCGACCACCTCCATGTTCGGTATAAAACCGGGCAGTTTATAAGACTTACAAACTAAAAGTTTTGCGCATTTTTTCTATTTAGGTGCGTTGCCGCCAACCTTCGATCTCAATTGTGGACAGTATATCATTTTGGCCGTAAAGGAGCATTTTTTTGCGCTATATTCATAGCTGTCAGGTCCCCAGGTGGGGACACAGCAATATATAGAGAGCCGTCATCAGTGTGCCTAAAGAATTTTGCCTAGCGATCGTTGATCCTTTGACGGTCCCTTGTGCTTCTCGCCGACCCGGCTAAACCGGCTTTTTGAAAAGGGTATATACCCATCTTTATAGGAAACAATATTTGTCCAGTGTCGGCGAAGGAGACTAAACTTACAACAATCATGCTGCTAATTCGTACGTTGCATGCCCTTTCTCCCTTTCATATGTCAGCTCTCGTCCGCTGAAGTTTCTATGGATTATGCAGAAGAGATATGACAACTACCTAGGCGCATCATCTTTTAATTTGTTCCTTTCATATACACAGGCAGGTGGGGGGTCTTTCTAATAAAATGAACAACAAATAACCATTTTAATAGTTAAGTGATTGGTTGGGAATTTCTTCATTTTAGGCTTATAGTTCTGAGTTTCCCGTAGCCAGTTATTGACCTCTTTTTATCTCTTTTTTGCAGGTTATCGAGCGTCCTATTTATTCGGATATTTCGAAGTACTTGTCACCAGCTCAAAAGTCACGCTTTAGTCCGGGTATTCGCACAAAACCGAAACCTTACAATGCTTTCTCCAAGGATAATTTGACACTTCAAATGCCCTATACGGGCAGCACTACCACCGCAACCGTTCCACTGGAATATTACACAACCAGCAAATCACAACAACCCGCCGCTGATAGTGTACATGCGCCAGTTGAGATTTTCAATTTCATCGAGAAGCAAGAGGACTACATTGAGCAACTGGAGAAAGAGTCCAAATACTGCCGCAATGAGTTGTCCAATTTGCTTGGCAAAGTCAAAGACGTGATCAACGAGAATACGCACCTCACGGAGACCGCACGCTCCGAGTTAGCCACATTGAGCTGTGTCGATAAGACACTGCCCACAACAAGTCCCTCCTCGGATAGTGATGAACGGCAGCAATACAAGAAGAAGGCTTCCACAACACCGCGCAGCAAGAAAGACTCTTCCTCTGGCACGGTGAAATCACCTCGATACGCGTCAGCACCAAATATCGTCTACGAAGCGCGCATAAGCGAGCTCGAAGCAGAGTTGATGCAATCAAATATCGATTTGAAACGTTTGAAAACGGAAAATGAAGAGCTCAAACGCAAATTGGCACACGTTGACCCACTAGTGCTAGCTGGTGCCCATGCAGCCACTCCAGCTACTAACTCGTCGGCCGCTAATTGTGACGCGCATCGCAAACAAATCGACCACCTGCAGCAGGAGAAGAATGCGCTCGAGGATAGCGTGCGGCAGCTGCAAAAAATGTTGGACGAAGCCAAGTCGCAGCAGTACCAGAGTGGGGCCTCGTCCAAGCGTTACATCAGCGATCTAGTGCAGATGGAGCGCTCACAGGCGGAGTTGGAGGTGAAGCATCTGCGTGAGGAGCTCGATCGGCAGCATGAGCGTGTGCGCGAGCTACAGCATGAGATGGCGCGTCGCATTGCCGATGAACGCGCCAATGCCGAACGACGCTACAACACGCAGGTGGATCAATTGGGCGGCGATCTGAGCAATCAGTGGGAGCAGGTGGCCAAATTGCAATTGGATTTGGAACGTGAGAAACGTTACGCAAACGATCTAAAGCGTGATCTCTCGAATCGCAATGCACAGATCGATGAGCTGAAGATGGAGCTGCGTTCAAATCGGAATACTTTCTTGGCCGATATGGCGCAAGCGAATGCGGAGAAGCAATCCTTGGAGCAGGAAATCACTTCTTTGCGGCTGCAGCTGGATCGTGCGGCGCGTGAGGCGAAAACTGAGGCGACGCGTCTGACGGCCGAGATCAGTTCGTTGCGACAGCGTTTGGATCGCGGCGATGCCGATTTGTTGCATTCCAAGCGCGAGGTGCTGCGCCTGAATGATGAGATTGCCAATTTGGAGAAAGAGGTGAGTTGAATGTTTGGTAGATTTGTTCAAAGGGTGGTGCGTAAATTGCTTATTATTTTCAGCTGGCCTACGGTGAGATGAAAAACGAAATTCGGCCCACTAAAAAAGATTTAGATAAGCGTATGACAGAGATGCATGATAAGCATGGTGAGATTTCTGATAGTTTTTCTAAAAACAAGGCACATTATTTTAAGCTTTATTAGAATTTTTTACTAACCAAGTAGAACCAAGTAGATTTTTAATTTTTGATGCACTGTAGCTTTTAGGAAAATTTTAATTTAAATGGTTTGCAAAACGTTTGACATATTTTTAGTCTAGTACTTTATCGCTTTCCCTAATTCGTCACGAGTTCGTAGGGAGCACTCCTTTTATTGTGGTTTCAATACCCGTTACTTACGCCGTTCATGTTTCAGCGTGTTTTAGCAAACTGGTATATTGAGAGCTCTTTAGACAGAAAAATGCCACGATATATAGCCATTTATAATTGGTCAGCCGAATTCCGCTCCGAATTCGGATTTACATTTTGCGAAACTGGTTGGATGTCTAAAAGTTCCGCGCATTTCTTAATATTGCTTCTAACGAGGAAAATAGAGAAATCCGTTTCGATAACACGGAATACTCTCTAATAGACGATTGAGCTCAGCACAAAGGGATTGACCCGACAACCACATGCTGCTGAATAGCAAATGCCTTAAATCCAGAACAATTACATTAACTCTAGAATAGAAAAGCGTCCGACTTTAAGCTACGAAAGGCTGCCCGCACTTATATTCCCCCTGCAATGGTCCATCGTGATGAACGAGCTACTCTGCCTACTAAGTGAAATGCCTTCCATGTTAAGTGCTACGTGAATGATATTGCCACACTTATCAGAGGCAGGCTCGGAGACAGTCGGCCGCATGAATAAAAACCAAGCAATAACTTTTTCGTAGACCTTTTACTTGATTTACTCAAATAAATTTTAGTAAACCTCGTAGAGAATGAGCTGAAAGTAGTCACCAAATGGTGCAGGAAAAACGGGTTAAAAGTAAACCCAAAGTAGACTAACATAACCATTTTTTCCAGGTAAAGAAAAGGTGAAAAGTTACTGGAAACATTACTTCAAGGAGCAAAGATACGCTTCTCTAAAGAGGTATATTTTCTGGGAATCATCCTTGACGATAAGACTTTGCACCTGCTGGAGACTTACGGATCGAAATTGGGGTATCAACCGGAAACTGGCAAGGTGGATGTTTCATACTTTCTCCAAACCTTTTCCAACTTATGCTGCGTCCGTCTGGTGGAAGAAGGCATAAGTAAAGCGCACGCTGACCGACCTCAGCAAACTACAGCGACTAGCCTAGGTGGGTGCGATGAAAACAACACCAACTGCGGATTTCGAGACGCTTCTTGACCTGCCTCTAAGCAAAAATTGCAAAAGGCACAGCTGTAATTTTTTGTGGCTGTTTTTACCAGGCTACTGTTTGATCAGAATGATCGCGGTGCGACCAAGCACCTCATCTGGGGTATGATGAGATTGAGTCGTCTCAAAAATTTCTACAAGGCTGCCAGACTGTTGTTGAGAATGAAATATCTTGGCTCTAACTTCATGAGCAAATCCAAGCAAATCTCAAGAACTGTGTATATGTACATATACATATAAATAGAGTCAGTACGCCTATTTGGCCTACTGCCTCTAGCCCTAAATTCGCTATAAATTTTAGAAAAGGTCCCATGGCTAGGAAGTGTATGTGCTGTACTCCTGGCCATATATGTCCTACGCAACTTCACGAAGGGGTACATTGATTTCTCTTCGGTGGAGACAAAAGAGATCGCTCGACCAGATCCCTAGCTATTTCAAGTAGCCTCTTAGCTTGAAATGACTCGTCAAAATGCATGTAATAATTCTAAGCCTCTCCTTGGGGAGGTTTATGAGTTGCAGTAGCCTAACGAATACCCTTGCTGTTTCGCTAGTGTAGTTCCCTCAGTTTGAAATTTTCCTTTCTAAGCGCTTCCTTCACTGTAAGAGGACCTATCGCAAGGAAGGGCTGAGGTCCTATTGGAGTCGATGCAGCAGCTATTCTGACTACCTGATCGGGTTCCTCATTTCCTTGGATCAATGAGGATTTGACCCCGAATCATGAGAGATGCAACAGTGCCGGTCCGCTTGGGATAATGACCTTCTTGCTTTCATGATTCCTATGAAATTAGTCTCTGCGCACAGACTATGTGCATAATCTTCCGCTTGAAACCGTGTGGGATCTCAGAGCCGTCTGTGTATCACTGTAGTGTGCTGAACTTGATGTGTCTCTCCATAATAGAGCACCTAAAGTAAAATTTGCAGATTTAAATTTTTGTAGAATATTTTAAACCACTAATGTGAGTTAAAGGCTTAAAATGCTTAATGAAATTATGTGGCTGAATTCTGCTTTAGGTGTACTAAATTATGATTGAAGTCGTTTTAGATATAAAATGGTATTTTTAATAAAAAAAATAGTAGCTTCGACCCACTGTACAGATTTGTTAGAGATGGAGCAACATTCTTTTGGAATTTGACTGTAATGCAGGGATACCAATGTTTAAGCATAGTTTGGTTGAGGCTTTAAAATTGCAGCTCCTTTGAGTAGCATAAAACCAGTAAATAAAATTTTACATTCTTTGCGACAATGCCTGCGAATTCATCACCCTAATTTGACTGTACTATTTTAACAAAGAAAAAACCCGTTAAGACATCCGGCATTTAGAGGCACCCCGACCCCTCTCTTTGTGCGACAATTTTAGTATACATATGTAGCTAAAAGTTAGATAGATTATTTTAATTTCTTTTTAAATTAAAAATTTTCACATAGCTTTAAGCAAAGTAGAATATAAAAATGCACATGCAATGCCACTCAAATATATATCTAACAAGCACTGCACCATCATTTAACTCTACACAGTTTCGTTCTGGGTAAGCTATTGATTTGGCTTGTGTGAAAATCTTTTTAACTTATAAATTTTGAAAGAAAATCAAACGAATTTTTTTTTTAACAAAATAAAAACGAAATTAGTGCCTCTAAATATTGTTAATTAGTGTTTGGTAATTGTAAATCAGTACGAAATATTTTCCAATACCAACAATGGTTCAACGAAAGTCAATAGTTTATTCATGAGTTGCCGTAGTAGTAAGAATAAAAATTCACCTCAAACTAATCATAAAATGTTTGCTTTGCGAATTTTGAATTGTCATTTATATTTAATGTAATAACTGAAATATGCTTCACTTAAATAAATGTTTTATTAATAAACATTTTTTGTTTTTACTTTTATTATGTCATAGCCGAAACCGTAAATGAACTTGAGAATATGATACAGAATCAGAAGCAACTCATGGATAAATTGACTAGCGAATGCAAAACGTTGACGAGTAAACTCGAGGATACAGCTATCAAACACAAGTAAATATAAAATACGGAATTTTTTATAAATAAATAGTAACTTAGTATACATACATATGTACATGGGTAATATTATGGAATTGAAGTGGTTTAAAGAAGTTGCATATAATAATAATAATAGATTGGCGCTTACACATATGTTAGTGTTTGGCCGAGCTTCTGCATATATGTATGTATATATCTCGATGCCGTAAAAATAATAGCACAAGTAATATTTTTGGTAGATCTGAAATCGATAGCTGAGTGAAAGATTGACCTATCTCGGTAGCCAGTTCGAAAATGCCCAGCAAATTTTTCAACGACGCTCCATTTCAGAATTTAGTTGAAGAACGCCCTAATTTAGAATTTGATTGAAAAACGCTCTATCTCAGTTGAGCATTTTTGAACTGGCTCTTCAGTTTCCTATATTGATCTCACGCAGATCGCGTTGTTCCCGATCGGAGTTAGTATATTTTCTCTCCCCAGCTTCGTGACATTCCTCATCGTACCAGCTGTTCTTTCGGGCTCACTGAAATTTGACTACTTCTTCGGCGGCGGTACTTAATGAACGGTAAATGTGGTTTTGCTACTCACGTATGTCGGTTTGTTGAAGAGTGCTTTTAGAGAGCAGGCGTGAGAGTCGAAAGATCCCGAACTCGCCAAGCACGATTTGGATATCGTGACGAGGGTAGCGCTCGTATGTACGCTCTAAGCGCTCATAGGAAAGATCCTTGGACGCCCTGTTCCTCCCTTCCGTCGAAGCATGTGCTCAGATTAGCGAGAAGTATAAGAATATCGCTTTAATGCGGATTGTGTCGAGACGCTCGTCCACAACGGTGAGCGACAGAACTCGACAAGGGACACCGAATTTATATGGCAGCTGTATTTGACCTTGCTCGTCTATCTCATTTCTTGGATTGCGACGATGCCAGCCTTTGTCTTCCCGAGGACATCAACCAGCCGGGCAGAGTCACCTTTCGCATTAAGGGTCCTGTTTATTGGTTTTGCCCTAACGTAGATTACCTCGCAATAGACCGCACGGTAGCTTAATATCGATCACGATCATAACATGTACAGCAGGAGAAGCTTTGCAAAGCTTCCTTTAGATATTATATGCTCAAAAGTAAAAACTCTCTCTGAAATTCAGTTCACTGTATGCGTGAGTACTGGGCAGAGAGTTATATTTTATTGTGTCTACGCCTTCACGAATTATAAAGGGATCGTAGAATAGCTCTCTACGCGGACTTTATATAAGCGATCACCTGCTCAAGATTTTTATCTGTGTGCGTCTTTATCACTGATGATCAAAACAGCGCTCGCGACCTGAACTCTGTAAAGCTTTCTGTAGCTATTATATGGGCGCGCATAGAGTTAAGGTTTTCTATGAGCAGCACTATATAAAACATTCAGAGAAAAACGAGTACGCAAGAGAAGCTTTTTAGCTCCCTCTTATTAGCTCGGGATGTAACTATGTAATATTGATGCGCCTAAAAGATGCAGCGATTTCTATTCTCAAGCTACATACCTGATGACAGTACGAATGGAAATTATAATAGCGAGGTTTCCGTTTTTTAAACTATGATTTTGTTAAAGTTCGTATATACTGCACATAGGCACGTAGTGGGCAAAAGCTCTTTCAGATCATCTCCTATTTAAGGTGTAGTCATCACTGCGAGCTTTTACTTGAAGAAAGTCAACTTAAAATTTTTGGAAAGCTTTAATAAGCTTCTATTTACCTCGGCGCATATTTTCGTCCTAACTGAGTACGGTAAACGGCATATTTCTAAAGCATCTTCTTTACACTCAATTACATTCAATTCCCTAACTCAAACTAACACTGAGCGGCAGTTATTAATTTTTCAAGCTTTCTTTTGAATTGGAAAGTTTTAAAAATAAAAAACACTGCGTCTCAGTGTAAAAAATATTTATACAAATACATGGAATGTAATTACAAATAAAAAATGTAACGAATCAAAAGCCAAACAATATGAAAATTAGCAAATTTTCGGTGAATAGAAACTGTGCAGGGTATAAACGGAAAATACTCGGCAACATATCAAAAAAAGAAAAAACTTGCACCAGATGGAAAAAAACGTCAAATAGTTCACGCACAACACAATTCGACATTTAATTTTGCTAACAAAACAAAAAAGAAAAACCAAATTGAACATAACTACAAAAACAACAAGACAATGAACACGCTGGATTAATGCGTTGTCGTTTTTCACAATTCTTATTTATTTTTACTGCTGCCGCTTGCTCGAAAACGAAAAACGATTACACTGATGA